TATATAAATATGAACTTTTCTCCACCTAACAAACATATCATTTAGGTTGAAAACATGGGCTCGTGGCATTGTCCTCTTGCACTCTTTGGCCTCGAATGGCATTGCTCGGTGCACTCTTGCCTCGAGCTCCCTCGCCTTGATCGCTACTTTTGCATGCTTCTACCTCAGACACCCTTGCCTTGCACATTATCTAGTCGCACATTGATCCTTTGTGTATCACTATTTCAGTACTCTTGTCTTGTGCAAACTTCCCTTGCATGTACTATTTCCTTAGGCATCAGTTGCAGACAAATCCACCATTACTTTGGCCTATTGGTCTCGACGATTTTGCATTTTTATCTTTGGCCTCTTGGCCTTTCTAGCTTTTAATTATGGCGATTCCATCGCCATTAATCTTTATCTCTTTCGAACTCTATGATACTCCATTTTCGCTCATTGTTGCTCCACCTTGTGCAACATGATGTTGCCTAATCTCAATGCACTCGTAGGTTTTGCTGGCCACGGATGGTGGCACTCCTCGCCATTACTCTAGCGCTCCTCTCAGGTTGCCTAGGTTGCTTGATGGGTTTCTTTTTCCCTGTGCAACACTAGGCTCCCAAGCTTTGATCGCTTCTCAAGTCCTTTCATGTGCTAGTCACCACCTTCGTTGCTTGGATCCTCTTTATCTAACAGAATAGCCATGAGCTTGTTACACAAAAGACATTTGTTGTGCTTCCTTTTCTAGCTGTTCCACGTGATGACTACCTTGGTTCAGTCATGTGTCAACTTTTCCTTGACCTCTTTTTCTGAACCACTTCCTTCTCTCCCCCACTGTTGCTCTTCTCCTTAGGCCGAAATGAGCAGAACTTGATCAGAAGCTAGACCACCGTTTTGTTTTGCGTGAGCTTTTGCACTCCTTTATGCTGAAGCTCTTGTTTCATCCATGGCTTTAACCCATCCATAAACGCAAATAGTGTTTCCTTCTCACTAAAGTCCCCCACTTGCAATACTAAATCAAAAAACTCCTTCACTTACTCTCGCACTTCATCCTTTTTGACCAGCCTTCTTAGTTTTCCTTTTGCCTCATCTTGAGCTATTCAAGGTAAAATTGTAGTTGAAACTCCCTGTAGGTTGCTTATCAATGATCGCTTCCTTGAGCTTGTCAACACATCAATGTCTCTGCCGTAGTAAAGCTATGTCCACTAGGTACATGGAAACTGTGTTGAGGCGCACAACGCTCTCCATGAAACCGCATGGTCCGAATACACTACTCCAGACTCCATAAGAAATTATTAACATACTTGGTCTATCTTTGGCCTTAAAATTCCTTGGAATTGTGCACTTCCAATCGAGTCCCCATTTGGACAACAGGCACGCCACCCGCTCTAATTGCCTTAAGTGTAACAAGCTCATCTTTGAGGCCCACATACCTTGTTCTCCAATGCCTCGAGTAGTTCCTCCAGCGTGTCATCTTGTTAGTTCAATATGTCCACACTGAGTCATTTCTAGACTGAGGTATACAAGGGGCTAGACTATTGACCTAGGCCCAAAAGCTCAATCCAAAGTTGAGCTTGGACATAGAATTTTAGGCCTCAGCTTAGCCAGACTCAACTCGATTATTTTATTTTTTTTGTTAAATAATATATTTTTATTAAATTTAAAATTTTTAAAAATCTTAACGATTGAAATAGAATAATATACTATTAGTATAATAATAAAATAATAATTAAATAGGTTGAGTGGAGTTGACTCGGGCTTGACTTTAAATATGAAAGGCTCAATAATCTCGGTACAAGTTGATCTATGAACAACTCTATTAATCTTGATCAAGCATAAGTTTATTGACATAAGTTGTGATAATTAATTAACATGTTAATTAAAAAAACAATTATTTGCTAACAAGTAAGTGATGTGGTATTAAAAGAATAATTATTTTATAATGACGTTATGTCTATTTTAGATACTTCA